GTGAGTGCTGGGAGCCTCACTCATGAGTGCCCCGGGCATGGTAGAGGCGGTGTGTTTCCCTACTCTCACATGCAGCCGGCTGTGTGGCTCTTTAAGTGAGACAATAGGATAGATGGCGCAAACAGTATAAAAATGTAAAAATACAGAATTCTAGGCTTTGTCTTTTTAAAAGGGTGCCTTATATATACATATTTTATGGATGGGTAATTTGTTCATTTATCTTTTTTTTTATTTTTATTTTTTTTATTTTTTTGGAGTCAGGGTCTCACTCTGTCCCCCAGGCTGGAATGCAGCAGTGTGATCACACTCACTGCAGCCTCGACCTCCTGGGCTCAAGCGATCCTCCCGCCTCAGCCTCCTGAGTAGCTGGGACCACAGGCATGCACCACCACGCCCGGCTAATTGATTTTAGTTTTTTAGAGACGAGATCTCCCTTTGTTGCCCAGGCCGATCTTGAATTCCTGGCTTCGATCGATCCTCCTGCTTTGGCTTCCAAAGTGCTGGGATTACATGCATGAGCCACCACACCCAGCCCATTTATCTGATTAAACTGACTCTAAGAATGATTCCTGTCCTGTGCCCATGTGCCAGCTGGGCTGATGGAGCTGTGCCTGGGGAGGGCCCTGTGGTGGCCGACACCCCCCCACCATCCCTCCTGCCAGTGGAGTTGGTGGCTCACGCCTCCAAGACAGATGAGGAGCCTGTGTCCTCATGGCTCCAGCACTACTGACTGCCCATAACAGGACCACAGGCAAGCTGGGCAATGCCAGCGTCTGCAGAGAAAAGGAGACTAGCTCTTCCTTCTCAGTCTGGCCTGGTCTGATGTGCACAGCAGTGAATCCAGACTGGGCTTGTCTTCATGGTAGGGTCCCTTCCAGTGAGATCAGCCTCAGGGGCTCAATAGAAAGGTGCAGGAGCCGTTGTGCCTGCTGCTGGTGGCGTCTTGCAGAGGCACTGAAGGCACTAACAGTGGCATTTGTGCTCTTGGCTTTGCAGTGCGAGTGGCTGCTGGGGGACCGGAAGCCCTCTCCAGAGGAGCTGGACAAGGGCATCGACCCCGACAGTCCTCTCTTTCAGGCCATCCTGGATAACCCGGTGGTGCAGCTGGGCCTCACCAACCCAAAAACATTGCTAGGTATGTGCACCTTCTTTACGCTAAGTCGCGGGTCGGGGAGGCTGGCTGGTTCCCTCATAGGACGTGCGGGTGCTGTGGAGGCGACGCGGAGGATCCAGCGCTGAGGATCGCCATGCGCTGGCTGCACGTCCTGCCATGCAGGTTGGCATCCTGCGGGTGTAGTCTGCTACGTCACCATGGAGCCCACAGGTCAGGTTCTGATCGTGGTGTGACTGTCTCCTGCACGACTCTGACACAGGCTTCAGAAAACCAGTGCCAGTGGCTTTCCGAGGGCCAGCGGGGTGGAGACCACACCAGCAGCTTAGGAACTCACATGAGAACAAGGCGTGGTGTGGGCTTTTGCTCTTACTGTTCCTCAGGGTCTTCGATGGCAATTGTTTATTTTTATTGTCAGATACCTACATGCAAAAGTACATATGATGTTGTAACTTTAAAGAAGGATAAAACTAATAGCCATGTATCTGCCATTCAGCTCTGGGCCTGGGGTGCCCCTCCCCTACGTACCTCATCCCTCCCTCCAGCCTGGCCGTCGCCGTGGCCGCGGCTTACCTCTCTGCTTCCCTGTAGAGTTTTGCTGTATTTGTGTCTCCTCAAACAATCTCTCATTTGTTACTGCCTTTGTGTAAGTAGAATCACGTTTTAAGCAGGGCTCTGTGACTGACTGACTGCGTTCTTTGTGGGGGTTGTGGAGTATTTTGTTGATGGAAGGCACCGGGAATCCAGGGGTCATTGGGTTGTCTGCATGTGGTGCCACTCGCGATGTTCCCCCCCTTTTTTTTATTTTTTGAGACAGCGCCTCACCTTGTCACCCAGGCTGGAGTGCAGTGGCGTGATCTCGGCTCACTGCAACCTCCGCCTCCCAGGTTCAAGCAATTCTCCTGCCTCAGCCTCCTGAGAACCTGGGATTATAGGCGTGCATTACCACGCCTGGCTAATTTTTTGTATTTTAGTAGAGACGGGTTTCACCATGTTGGCCAGGCTGGTCTCGAACTCCTGACCTCATGATCCACCCGCCTCGGCCTCCCAAAGTGCTGGGATTACAGACCTGTTGGTCCCCAGGAGCCGAGTTCCGGGATGTTGGGAGGGCCTTTGCCACCCAAGCAGGCTGGAAGTGTCTCTGGAAGCTGTGATGGCCATGCCCTGATCTTGAAGGCTGGCCTTCTTTCAGAAGTGTATTGGCCATCTGTAGAACCTCGGCTGTGAGAGATCTTCCGCTCAGCGTTTGGCCTTCTTTTCTCTTGGATTATTTTCTTTTTCTTTTTTTTTTTTTTTTGAGACGGAGTCTCGCTCTGTCGCCCAGGCTGGAGTGCAGTGGCCAGATCTCAGCTCACTG